CTGGATTATATGAATAGATTATTTGAGCTCCACTTCGTCGAAAGTCTAAAGAAATGGGACAACATAATTAGAGTGACGTTGAGGCAGCCGGCGTCATTTGTTACTCGAGTGATGTCTTTATGAACGGCCGCCACTCACACCGCACTACATCATTATGTTTTTACACATAAAGAATCAACGGAATTCAAAAAAAGGAAATTCGGTAAAAATATTTTAAATAAATTTAATAAGTCGATTTGACATTTTAGAAATCTTATTTAATCTTAATATTGAGGTTAGATTAGATTTTAGAACAACAGGTTTAGGTTTATTTCAATATAATTACAATTCATTTGATTGGATATTTCCATAGTTGAATGCGTGTGCTCGGTGTGATGCGAGGAAGTGGAATATCTTAGTCATATTATTGTGACGTAGCATAAAACAGGAGGAGAGCTCGTCAGACTCCAACATATTAATTATTTAAAACAAATTCAAGTTAAAACAATACTGTCTTGTTTGTGGACTGAGATGTCTAGATAATAACGAATAAATATCACAATATTTCTATGGATTGTCTAAATTATATTACATGTAACAGGTTTCTTCACATTTTCGTATACTATGTATGTACGAGTATATCGAATATACCTTAAAATATGTAAAATGCATACTTATTGTTATCAGGAATCGAGTCTACAGATACAGATAAAGATAATCGCGAACAAAGGCCTGTATTTTCATAATATTTGTCGGTACAATTTTGTTATATTACATTGTTGTTATTGAGTTTATAATATGGTTTGAAATAACACATTATATAATACGTTTTCATGATGTTATTTGCCTTCCTTGTCTTCACGTTAGAGTATTGTTTTGCACTCGAGAGACAATTCCTGCTTTCATATTAAATGCAATTTAAAGACAACATCCGCGGCGGCGCGGCGGAGCTCACTTCTATTGTGCTTTGAGTAGCTACACTGTTTAAATGACGTCACCAATTATAATAGTGGTAACATTTGCCTTACGAATGCAGCCGGGGGTCAACAGGCTTTAGTTAGGATAACTTCAAGCAATTCCGCCTCTCTTTTTTTTGAAATTACTGGGGGATAAAAAAAAGAACAAAATGAATGGTCTAGGTCTGAGAGTGAGACAAGTTGCGTGAACCGCACATGCATTTTATATAATAAAGCTCTTTATAATTTCACCATAGAGTGAAGTTCAAAGAGATTTGCTGACGCTCGGGCAATTGATTCCTTCTAAAGCGTGTCATTTATTCATGATCAGGCGCGAACCCCCACCGACCGGAGACCCCTCTGACCCCATTACACAAAGTGAATTGCGGATCATCTTATTCTCTTGAACAAATTCTTAAGATATACAAGAACAGCTTTGCGGTCGGCTAACAAGTGCAGCTACCTTACAGCTAAGGAATAAAGGTTCAATTTAAATGTTTTCAATTTTACTCTTTTTGCAAACGCTAGTTGTTTTATGTGCATAGATTTTGATTTATGCTCGATACGAGGCATTTGGTTATTCGAGTGAATAAAAGTGAGTTATGTAATGTTGTGCGGTTTGCACTATTTATTAGGGAGATTGTTGTTTACTGTTGTCTCGGCTGTTTGCTCTCTTTCTCCGTTACTTGAGAGAGAGAGAGAGAGAGTTGATCAAGTTAAGTTTGAGGTAAATATTAGTGAGACCTTCATTACCGAATAAACTGATATATTCTTTCATATGTTATATGTACATATATTTAATATAATAATAAATTACAGTGTTTAGTGGAATAAATAGGTTGAGGTAATTTTATGAAACATCGAGGTGAGTAAAATTGTAACTTATTAAAAATGTTTTCCTAATACATACGTGTGTAGGTACGATAAGTAACAATTGGTAACAACTGCTGGTATACGTCACACTTGTGTAATCCGCGAGGGACGCGGACGACGACGTGACAATCCTTTTCACATAAGTAATAGCGACAACATATATATTATATAATATAATAGTGTCTTATGAATCATCTAAATACTTTTTTTTAAACAGTTACCTTTTTTTAAATGATATCAGTCTCCGATATATTTCGGTAGATTGCGGCTTATAAAACCGCAAAGTTGACCAGTAGAATCGGGTTATTCGAAGCTTTCAGCATAATTATAATATAATAAATTTTATGTTTGTGTTATAAATGATTATAGTAAGCAAAAATATTACTTAGAGATAATAAAGCTGAATAATCGCCTCTTATGTAGTTCGTGTGTTGTACATTCAAGAGATTCCGGGACGAGGCCAGCGCGGGCGCGGGCGCGGGCGCGGGCGCGGGTTGCGTGTGTGTGTGTGTGAACTTTGTGAGTGGCGACATCTATCGTATAAAATATTCAGACGCGTTACAACAATGAGTACGTAAGTAAATCTGCTTATGCTCAGGTAATACATCGCTTCAAGCGCTGTAGGGCGCTGCAGGCGCACAGAGCGACGGCTTTAAGCGCTTCTTAAATTTACACCTCATTATGTGCGCGGTGCGCGAGACCTCGCGAGCTGTAATCCCGGATTAACATCCTTCGCTATGGAACTTTTTCTTTTCGTATTTTTGAGAGACACTGCTCATTAGAGGCCTTTATTCGTAAAACGGATTACCAAAATATATAAGATTTATTTCTCGAGGAACCGTGACATGTGACGTCACGACACTCTAATTACCTCGTGTATTGAAACTCTGACTTATTTGATGATTGTTTCGAATAAGATGTTTACATTTCTGTCGCTTTGTTCAATACAAATTTTCATTCAACTGTTTGACACACGTTTCATGAAGTGTGATGTATGGAATCTACATATGTAAGCATGTAGTTTAAAATAAACAACAGTGTCGTCGAGGACGTCCAAAAGAAGCTAAGTTTATAATATAAAGAGTAGGAATTAAGCGTTAGATATGAAGAAATATCCCGCAATTTTTGCATTAATAACATTTATTCGCCTCCCCACTGCATCACATTTTAGTTCCGCAGTTACCAACGATGATTGATATACGTATATAATAAGAGATAACGATAGTAGATAGATCTGACGATGTTCAGTGATTGGGTGCACCGAGAGTTCGTATAAAATCTTCGAGTCAAAAGCTTTCCTTCAAAAAACACGTGAAAATAACAAAGAATAATATAATTTTCTGAAGAATTTTCTGATTTTTAATTTATCCCTATAGTAACAAGTTGGAAGAAATCTTTAACAACCTTATTAAATTCCAAAACAATTTGTTGCGGACAGGTAGGTGCTGAGAGATTATTAACATTATAAAATAGGAGAATTTCTTCGTAGAAATAAAAGCAAACTTTTTTTCTTATCTGTTTGCTGGAAGGATGTTAACCCGGGATTATTTACGCACTTCTTTCGATATTGTACGAGTAGAAACAATAAGGCGCTGAGAAGTCTCATCGTTTCTCTAGATATAAATATGGCAACAGTCATATGTTTATATCAATATATCTCAACATTAAAATGTTTACTATTCATTACATTATTTAAAATAAATGTGGTAACATGAGTTATTCTAAATAAAATCGCTCGACAGCAATCGTGGAGGAGAAGAGAGACCTGGCGTTTGGGTTAAGCTCCTTAAGTGAAAGTAACACTTTCTCAGCACCTTCTATGTCACTGGCTTGTACCCTCGGAGTTGAGGCTCCGCCCCCCTGCCGCCGCCCCTGCCCCCGCACACCCCACTGTAATCCTGGTATAACATTCTTTAAGAAAAGAAACTTTATTTTGTTTCAAAAATACTTTATTACTTCAAAGCAATGTAAATAACTCTTCTTGAACATTTACGAATGCCTGAAATAATTAGATTTTTATTTATGTTAAAAATAACCTTAATCACACCACTTTTGATTTCGTTGCAGCGTTATTAGTAGTATATTTTTTATGTTATCAGCAATAATGTGGTAAATATTTATCCAAATAAGTAATAAGGTAATTAGTAAACACAATAACTTGAGAAATATAAGCAATTTGCGTAAGTTATTGCGCAGCTCGCTGCTGTTTGTTGTCGCTCTGAAGTGAACACAAAATACAATATATTACATTAATACGTTAATTTATTTAGCGTTATAACATCGTTCAGCTATTTATGAACTTATAACTGTCGTTATTTGTAATAACTGCTTTAAGTTATTTCAGATGTTCTCGGTGTGAATTTATCTGATTTTAGATAACGTAAAGCGTTTCAGAACAATGTTATTACAAGAAATATACAAATACTTTATGTATTATATAATTCTTCGAGGATACATCGAGGAGACGTTTTTATATAAACCATATATTATCAAAAGTCCGCGATACCGATTTATTTTGCGGTAATTTAAAATTCAAAGCATGCCGGCAGCCACGATAATGGAACAAGCAAAGGGCGGCACATATTTGAATACAAAAAAAAGAAAAAAAAAACTATTGTTATTTTTCAAGTATAAATAAATAAAGACACTTTACTTTACGACTGTATACATAGACAGTATACAACAGAGTTTAGAAGACAAATAGTTACTGTGATCAGATCTGGGCAGAGATGTAAACAATTTCTTATAATGAATCTTTATCAATCAGTCAATTTATAAAACATTGTTATGTAACGAGTCAGAGAACACCAATAACAACGATAACGCGCAAACTAATAACGCCGTCAAATAAAACAAACTGAGTTTATAATATGACCAATTATAAAAGATAGTTAGTGTACGCTACAGTTTATGTATCTTACTTCTTGCTAATATTATAAATGCGAATGTTTGTATGTATGGATGTTCGTAAGAAGGTATCTCCAGTAAGGATGCATGAATCTCGATGAAATCTCTTATGGATGTAAAACTCAGCCTGTATCCCGCAAATGTGTACGGTTCTCGTGAGATACATTTGATTTACTTATTTACTATATAACACATCTAATTGAAATCTGGCACATATATATGACGATGTTTCGAGTAACACATGAGACCTTTTCTTAATATTGCACAGACGAAGTCACGGTCAAAAACTATTGTTTGTATAAATGTAATGATCAAGCGCATTACTGCTTTAGTTTTGATGTGAGATAGTTACATGTACATTTAGGTAATTGTGGTGAGTTACTATGTCACGTTCATTTGTTTATTTATATCAAATTATAAAATATTCCATTCCACTTGATCTTGACACGAAGACGACTTTTAGAGATATTAAAAAATTAAATTAACTTCTTCAATTTGTCCCTTTGATTTAATAAATTGAATATGAATATTTTTATTTAATGTTTCAAAGTGTTTTTATTATGATCATCATCTTATAATTTACTCATCAATGAACATAGAAATAGTTAATCATCATCAGCAGTAGCAAGATGGCCAGACTGACAGCTGAAGAAAAGAAGTTCTACAAGGATAACGGTTACATCCTCATCCGAAACCCCTTCACCGCCGAGGAGTTGGAGGAGTTGTCTACAGAGTACGACGACCTGTTTCGCCGGAAGAACGAGACCAAGACCGAGAGCTCGTGGGTTGGCAGCGACGAGACAAACAGGAAAAGTGACAGCCCATACACGGTCAGTAGTAGATTGTTGTATACATAAATATTCAAACTTGTTATATCAAAGACAAATATAGACGATACTATGTTTTCTTGGAGTTGAAATTGTAATGTTATGTTTTCTCAATTTAAAGTAAACCAATGTTTGCTAACTTATGTTATTGATAAACTTAGGAAGTTTGCAAACATACAAATAATATTTCAATAGCGAGCTTATATTGTGAACTTCTTTTTTGGAAATAAACCCCGATATCAATGAATGTTAGTGTTTGTATCCCATTTTCTTTTACTTTTTTTAGGTTATATTAAATATTTTTTGAAATATGTTTCAGGTTAAGGGTATACACAACTTGCAGATGCATCACGCTGTGTTTGGCAAACTGCTTTACCACGACAAGTTGCTGGACGCGCTGGAGGACGTCATGGACACAAAGAACATTGTCCTTCATCACACCAAAGCTCACTACAAGCCGCCGGAAAAGGGGGCCTCATATCCAATGCATCAGGTTAGTTTTATATAAAGCAGTTATTGATACATCTCTTTCAAGCCAACACATTAACGTAGTATTATTATTTTTTCCTGTCAGGATTACCATTACTTCCCGTACAAGAAGGATTCCATGGTGGCAGCGTTCATCCATTTGGATGACTCATCGCCGGAGAACGGCGGGCTGTGCGTGTTCCCGGGCTCGCATCGGCTGGGCCCGCAAGACGACGTGGGCGCGCGCGAGACATCGCACTTCCATTATGTTGACCAGGTTATTTAAATTGACATATTTAACATCAGTTCTGTTGTAGCTATGTTTTTACAAGATTTTTCGCGTTTCAGAGCAAATTTCCTATAGAGAAGTCGACACCGGTGTTAGCGCGCCGCGGGGACGTGGTGGTCTTCAGCTACCTGCTGGTGCACGGCAGCCCGGCCAACCTGTCTGCACGCGCGCGCCGCATGCTGCTCGTGCAGTACGCGGACGCGCACGATGAGCCTTTGGCGGGGGAGCGCGCCCAGCCCGCGCGTGGCCTCGTGCTCAGGGGCGTCAACTTGCATCGCGACGCTACAGTCGCTAACCGACATATACAGTAATAAATTCTCTAGACTTAAGCTTAAAGGTTAACGTGTATTCGTACACTCCGCGGGACGAAGCCCGTGCCGAGTGGACGAATGCGCGTCAACCTTTAATTTCACAACTAGGTTTATAATTATTGTTTCTATTGTATTTGTTGTTGTAACTTTTTTCCTTATATTTTGGAATAGAAAATGAGTATTTGAGGTTATGTGATACTTTGCAGTTGTTAAAGTAAAATTTACATTATTTATTAATTATATTCTGAAGATTCATATGTTATTGTGTTTCGTTTTACTAAGTATCGGGACAGAAACAAATAACCACACGCAAGAATAAGTTTAACATTTAGTTTTCTACTTATTATTTAACGACAACTTCAATGTAACAACATGAAATATAATTATTTAAAAGGCTTATAATATAATAATTTATTGAGGGTTCAACAGCAGTTATTGAATTTCCAGCCTACAGAGTAATACTTTATAATATATAACATTAACTTTCTATTTCTAATTTGTTTTTTGAAGTGAAAAATTAAAAAAAATCTTACAGACATGGTTTCATTAATCTGTCGGAGACACGCGATGTCTAGATACAAAAACTGTGATCAGTTTTAACAAATTAAACTTACCTAATAGATTTGTCAGTGATATTTATTATATAAACATCAAAGAGATATAAAAACATCAACTTTGCCTTTAATTACTTTCACCAATAATTTGTCTGCGACTAATTATAATAACATTAGTGTAGCTCAGTGTTGTACACAGAGATTATGAGGATATACGTGGTACAAACATATATGTTAGTGGGACCTTTAATACATTGTTGCAACACTTGAGCCATCGACAATACATGCAAACGCGAGATGATAGGAAGTGAGCGCTCGAGACAGCGCACTCAGCGTGAAATAGATTTCTCCGGCACAAAGGTTGACAACGTGTCCGAGCAGCTGCGTCCTCTACCCACTCTGTGCAGAATGACGTACTAACAATAAAACTATAGTGCAAATAGCGCTGAATCAGCTTGTATTAAGTAATAGATTTACTGGGCCATTAATAGATGTACCCGTCCCGCGGCTTGTGCACATTACATATAGATTTAAAGTTGACTAGTCAAAAACTCGGCAATTCCGCAGGAAATAATCTAGTAAATTTGCTCAGCGAGAGGAAAATGTGAAAGGCAGCCGCGCGAACACATCCCAATTTGTTTGAAGAGTCCCGCGCATAGAGGCGGATAAACAAAATTAGTCTGGACAAAGGCGGGGGGTGAAGGCGAATCAAATTACTTATGTTCCACTCCCGCGGCGGACACTCGCCTCTCATTCTGTGTGACCGCTCAGCTTGGCTCGGCTCGGCTCGACTCTTCCCTGCTTATTGGCTTTTTATTACCTATCATTTTTATAAAACATCGCTACTCATACAAATATTAATAATTACTTATTTAATATCTGGTATATGTTAATTTAATTCCATTTGAAAGTTATAATATTACCGGAAGTATTATAATATTACGATACACCTCAGTAACATTGTTACAGACGTATCTTAATGCACTGAGTAGATACTCGTATCAGAGACCATCTCGGGAAGGCTGCAAACTAAATTGTTTTGCCAAAATGTTGTCCCTTCCGCTTTTCCGCGCTCTTGCTCTGCAGCGGAAATGCTCTTCCTTTTCTACACAAATATAATGGTTTGCAATAAAATAAGTGTCAGTACAGGCTTAACAAGAAGGTAAACAATTGTAATTGTTGGATAGGTCAGTGCGGGAGCGTCACGTAGGCAATTTGCGGCTCACACGTCCTGCCCCGCCGCCCCCCACTCCCCCGCCTACCCCCGCCACCCTAATTGCATTACCGCTAATGCACCCTGAGGATTCCATGTTTGCGCTTCTGTTTCCTTGCTGTTTACTTACAATTGCAACTACTAGTTACATATGTAAAGCTTTCAAGGTATTGTAACTTACTACTAAGTTTGTATCCAAGTAAAGTACGATTCTGATTAGAACCTGAATTATTCCGATAGTTAATGATTTTGACGATTGTCAGTAGTGGGCAAAAACAATTTAGGACAACTCCTGATTTATGCAGGATATAAAACTGAGGGCATGGTAAGTAAGCTGTAAGGTGTTCTATTTCGTTTTTATAAAAGCGTTCGTTTCGTTTTGTGTAATGTAAACATGGAGTTTGTAAATAAAATAACATAATATGTATTGGATACAGTGTCAATGTATCATTTACATTTACACTGTACTGCTCTCTCTCTCCTACTCTCTCTCTCTCTCTCACATGCACACGTCAAGTGCTTGTTCAGTGTGTATTGTGTGGCCCAGCGACCTGCCAACCTTCAACTTTACCTTATAAATATTTATTGAGCTACAACAAATGTAAGCCAACTCTCTCTATGATACCTTTGAAAATTGATGGAATGAAGGATACTCTCTTTCGTTTACATTCAATTTGATCTGTTTTACATCTTGCAGAATATAAAGTACTCGTATATCTACATTGAAAATTCATTAATTTAAAATAGATAAATATGTGACGATTGCATTAAATATAATAAGATTTTTTCCAAAAAATAAACTACATAAAGATCTCCAAATAACAAAAAAGCTTTAAGAGAAAATCAAATAGTGAGAATATTTATATTGAAAGAAAAGAAGAACGATTATGTAATAACAACGTTTCAATAAGTCTTGACAAAATATTGCATTCGCTTGCAATAAATCAAAACATTGGATAAAATATGTGCCGATGTGAAAACAATAAACAATTGTCAAGGCGACCGGCGACTGAGAGGGGGCGCTGCTAACGTATTCACCGCTGCCCCATGTACAACATGAAAGAGAAGGACAAGCCACAAATCTCATTAAATTCTTAGATAAATTGATGACCACTGAGAGTACAAGCTTCGTTTACTCAACTGTTTGTTTGCTACAGAAATCGGAACTTGATATTTAGTGTTTTTCAAAGAAGAACGATAATACAGGTAAAAAAAATGTGATTTAAATACATGAAGTAAAATGTATAGAATGTGATATAACCTCGTCTTTCGGTTTACAAATTCCATTAGTATTGCAGTAAGTATAAACATTTCTTCGTAAGTCGTCGGTCTCAGCTCACCTGCTCCGGGGAAATAAAACTTTTATATTATGTGCAATAGTCCCGCATCACGCCGCGACCGCAGCGCCGCGCACGCTTGCGGGGATCGTGCATAACTCACTTTTCTCAGTTTGGTATTTTTTATCTTAAAAATCGGCTGATCTTTAAACGCGGCTTAATATAAAGAGTACTATATGTGGTAGTAGAACTTTATTAAGTGTAAATACAAGAATCAGGATTATTACAGTAATGAGTGCAATGAACTGGAAATAATTTCGCAATCCAATTATTTCCACTCAATTGCAAAACAAAACATATCACAAAAGTAAAAATACTTATAAAATTCCTATACCTATCTAAAATAAAAAATTCTTTTACCTTTCCTATGAAAAAGTGTAACATTTTTCAAATTGTCTGGAGTGCGATATGCTTTGAAAAATCGCAGAGAATTTGTCATTTCACCTTTACCATTCAATACGTGGTACACGCGTTGTCTAAATATGGTTCATTTATTCTGATTGTGAAGGTTCAAAATCGTGTGGCAAATGTAACGGATAGAACATATCGTAGTATGCGGCGACCGAACAAAATGAATATATTAGGCGTTTGAATATCGATGCCGACATATGTTAGCTATCGAATGCAAACTACAAAAGATTTTGCATCAAACGTATTTCTAGCATTTTATTTTCACATAATAAATATTTAGATACGCATTATTTTAGATTTGACATAAATCTTAGCAAAACATTTCTTATAAAGCAGAGTGGAACATCAGCAGAATTTATAAATAACTTTAATTGACAAAAAATACGAAGAAATTCAAGTTAATATTTTATTGTATTGCGTAAATTCGTTGTTATTTTGTGGTTTCTCAAATATAATGTTGTGAGGAGAGCGCGCCGCCTCCGCCGCCTCCGCCGCCTCCGCCTCCGCTGAAGCCTCAACACTCGCGGCTACAAGGAATGGCTTGTATTGTTTGACTTTGATTGTGTTCAATTGAATAGATATTCTGTATTGGTTTGTGTTCAGATATCTCCATCTATAAATGGCTTGTTACCGCGCCTCGAGATCAGGACAAAGGAACCTAATATAATGGAGGTCAAGCGGTTCTTACCACTAATTTATTACTTACAACAAATACCCTAAGTTAAACAATATGCCGTCTATGACAATTAACTTCTAGAATAAAATATAGAAGTACTTAATAGCGTTTTTTGAAATAATATTGCGTTTAATATTATAAGTAGATCTTCTTTTAATGCACCTCGGAAATCTGGACCATTATAAAATTTGAGTTATAAAACTAGACAATAAAAATGTAATCTACTGAAAGTGGATAAAATTTAAGTAAAAAGCTACGAGAGAAATGTTTTTAAGCCAAAAATCAAATGTATGAGAAGATCGGCAGCCAGGGCGCGCTCGCAATTCACCTTAATGTTGGCGCGCCGGCGCCGCACCGCGCACATACTTTGCACTTACACACTTTTCCACTAAGCGACGAGTCGCGCAGTTTTAATTGAACGCGAGTTATTTTCATGTTAAAGAAAACTTGTTAAAGGGTGATGACATTTTACCGTATGAAACATTACCATGACTGGAAAGCAAATTATTTTTTTTTGACTATTTAAAATACATGCCAATAAATGCTCAAAGAGAAAGCAATTATGAGGGTAGCCGCACATTAAGTCGCGCTAGTGGAAAAGGTTATTATTATGATTGGTATTAGCATAAAGCAAGTTTACAATATCCGGGCAGGTTTGGCACTCGCCGCGCCGCTTCGGGCTTCGTGGTACGGTAAGGATAGACTAGCTCCAGTCGCGGTAACGAGCGCACATGACAAACCACTACTCTCTAAATAACAATCGCACCATCTCACATCTCCGATCTACTTCCTTTACGATGGTATCACTTAACTTAATATTGTACAGTGCTACTACTTCGCATACATTAGTACAAATTAAGTAATATTTATTCTATTTTATCGTAAATTTTTAGCGACAATAAAATAAAAAACTTGACTATTAAATACACCTACGACCTGTTTGTCTTGTCAATTCCTGCGCCATTTGAACACAATCTTGATTGGTCGCAATATAAGTTTTCTTTGATGTTTGTTTTAAAAAGGGAATATTACTAAGAACTTGGCATAAGAATTAGCAAGTCATAGTACA